GTCCCTGCGGAGCACGGGCAGCGCCTCCGGCGTGTCGGGGGCCGTGGGGGCCGAGCCCCTGCAGAACGGGAGCCGGTCCCGGCAGCAGTCCTCGTCCTCTAGGGAGAGCCCTGTCCCGAAGGTGAGGGCGATCCAGAGGCAGCAAACGCAGCAGGTAAGGGGGGCCCCTTTCCAGGCGCCTTCGTCTTTACCACACTGACCTTCAAAGCTTTCTGACCTTCGAGTTGAATCAGGAGCGCTGGCGCTTCAGCAAGTAGCCAGTAGCACGAATAGTCGTGCTTGTTACCCTTCCAAGCTTGGCAAGCCTTGCTTGCTTACTTTTAAATGCTTTTGTACTAAATTTAAAAAAAAATAATGGTTTCCATTTATGAAGGTAGCAGCAAGCCTGCTGAGAGAAACAAAACTGGAAAATTTCCCTGAATGAAAAAAGAATAGAAGCAGCTTTGTTCCAAATGTTACTTAAGACTGCCACGTGAGACTGCATTTGCCCTGTGGTGCTAATTTAAAAGCACAGCTCCCTAAAAACAGAGGAATAAACAAAGATAAAATATCATAGAATAAACGGCTGCCAAAATAATAAATAAGTGCAGTGGTCTGAAGTGTGGGGTAATTTATATTTCGCTGTGATGCAACAATCTATTGCTGGTCCCCAAATAAATACTCTTTTTTCATTAATCATCCCAAACTATGAATAATGCAAACATTTTCTGGGAAGGAGTACTTGTATCTACCAACTCCTAATGCGCTTTATCAGTTGTTCATAGGTGACTGTAAATCAAGAGTTTCCTGTCAAAAAGCCAACATTCCTTCTTTCCCTTAAAAAAAAAAAAAAGGAAGGAAAAAAACCTCATGTTGTGATTCGCTGTGTATGAAAATCTTGTCTTAAATTAGTTTAATGTTCACTTGTGAAGATGAGTGTACTACAGCAAAGGTGGAGAATGTTTCACTGTGCTCTGCAGGTCAGAGGGAAGGCGGTTGGTTGTTTCTAGAAATGTTCTATTAGTGGGTACTGACTTGTCAGCTGGGCAGGGTGAGGCTCCTGAAGGCAACCCCTGTGCTGTTCCTTGGGGTTTACTGTTTTCTTCTGTGGTCACTGTGAGGGTAAACAGAGTCATGTTTGATTTACCTTGCCTAGTACAGAAGGAAATTTTTTAAGCTGCTGCTTCCCACAAGACCTTCTAGGAAGGATGCTGCTGCGCACGCAGGTGAGTGAGGACTCTCACTCCAGAAGGTTGCAGCCCCTGAGGTTGTAACTGCACCGTGCAGGTGAGGCTGCATCCCCCAGGAGCAGAGGTTGTGATCCTTCTGGATGGCGTAGCTCTGTTGGCAGGAGCACTGGTGAGGACTTGGTTACACAGTGGGAAGGCTTTTGGCTTCTAAGGTAGCTGGCAGGAGAACTTAGTTGCCAGCGTGAGCTCCTCCTCTGCCAAAGGTTTTGCTGGTAGCCCTGTTGGTGTAGCTTTCTTGGCAAACTCCTGGATGTTACAGTCAAAAAGAGAGAAATCTGTGTGGTGCCTGGGAACCCAGGAGCAATCATGGCTTCAAAACTACTTTGATACCTCAAGTTCATTAAAGTACAAGGAGATCAGAAACACTGAATAATAAAGCAAAACGTAATATGCCAAATTAGTAATACCAAAAGAAGTAATTGCATATTATTTGAAGTGCATATGTTTGTGACCTGCTTTGGAGTGTGTATTTTATGTTTGGGCAAGATTATTGAATACAGCTAAGCCTGGTGTGGAGGTGGTGGGAAATTTTTAGGCCTATAACAACTATAAATTTAGAAGATAAAAAAAAACTCCCCTTGCAGTTCTCAGGCATCCAGGACCTGCATTGTCTGGTCTGCTGTTTGTTGTGTGGTTCTGTGCAGTGCCATAGCCTGGATCCCTGAGGAGCTGGTGCCTTTCCTTCAGGGCTTGTTATGGGCAGAGCCTACACAAATAGGCAGAGAAGGTTTTACTTGGAAGGCGTTAAAATAAGGGGGAGAAAGTAGATGTGGTGTATCTCCAGTCTTTGTACATACACCCTACGTGGGTGCTTCTTCCCTGTGTGTATTTACAAGGAACATTCAGTTGGCTGTTCACAAACCCCTGGCTCTTCTCATCCTAAACTGGTGATTACCCCACTGTCCCCAAGCAAATCAGTTACCTTTGCTTGTTTAGCATCAGTGACTGTCTTGGATGTCCACCTTCTCCAGTCACTTTTTACATGCAGCTTCATAGATGCCTGTGACTCTGACAGGCTCCTTCCCCCCCTTGAAGGCAATGTGCATCTTATTTTTCCACTCTGCTTTCCATACTAATTGTTTCCACTGGATTCATTAGAGTACTTGCTCCTGCTTTATTCAGAGAAATCAATTTGTTCTTTCCTTCCCCACACCCTTGAGAAATGTCTTGAAGTGTGCCAAATCGAGTGGCCAGAAATTTTCTGAGGCAAATTCTATTGTGTCCTTTTAATTGCAAATTGTGTTGTGGAATTCTGTTCGTATTTTAAAGAGAAAAAGAGAATGGAGAAGTTGGGCATGTTCTTTCTGGGCATGCTTTGTGGGCGATATAATTATTAGACTCTGTTCTCTACAAGTCCCATTTGTTTCTGAATATAGAGCTAGGCGCTTTGTTTGCTGGGAGAGGTCACTTTTTGCCTTCCATTTCCATTTAGTAGGTAGGTGGGAACAGAAATGTCAATGTGTTCCTCTGGAAGAGATGCAAAGAGATGAATTAATCCATGTTCCTAGCAGGCTTTTTCTTTTTTGCCCCTTATTAGAGTGTAACTCGTAACCCATTAGCATGTGAAGGGCTTGCCATCCACTTGGTCTTTGTAGGCTTTCCGAGTTTGACTGCTGAAAATATTCTGTCCTGCAGCTTGCAAGGTTGTTTGGCAAGGTTTGCTGCTGATCAGCATTCTGTTACAAGGCTGGTGATGTAGTTTCACCCTTCTGCTGTCTTACTCCTCCATAACTCCAGTGAATGGTGACAGTGTTCATCCATAGCTCTTCCTAATTCCTCCAGCAATTCCTAGAGCCAAAGTATTTATCTTTGAGAAGAGCCTGCTGGTGGCAGAGCCACACACAGTCATAGTCTCTCTTGCTATGGCTGCCTGACAGCAAATACCATCAAAAAACCTTAACTAAGGAGCTGTGCCCAGCTGTCACGCTGCACTCGAAAGGGGCTTCCCTTTGTGAAGACTTCCTTCTAGCAAAAAGGCCTTTGCCTAAATCCATGGATTTCTGTGTAATTCCTACTCCTTTCATTTGCCTTTATACCCATCCTTGCTGAGACTTCTTCCAGTGCTGGAATCTTCATCACTGCTCAGGACAGCTGGGCTGCTGCAGGTAGATTCTCTGGCCAGAGCCAGTGTAGGACATACACAGTGCTCATCAGCCCTGTCCTTGTGAACAAGAGAAACAGAAATGGAGGTTGATATGATCCCTCCTTGCCTGACTCAAGTAAAGAAGCTGTTACTCCCCCATAAAGAACTCCTTGGTGAAACTGAGACTTCAGAATGCCCCTGACAGGAAGCACATTTCACTGTGGTACAACAGTGAAACGAGGCAGTGAGCTGAAGAGCTGCTAGAGCACAAAAAGAAGCTACAGTTGGAGGAGGAGGAGAAGTTGATCTTTCACATTTCTCAAAAAAGTTAAGACAGTATTGCTCTTTCAGGGGTAATTATGCTAATTCCTGTGCTTATAAACTTGTCTTTGTCCATGAAAATTGCTTGGAATTTGTAGCAGGCCATGTTTTCCCCAGCTGGGCGGAGAGTTTCGGGTTTCTTTTCTTGGCTTCCTTTTTGGATTCCCTTAAAGAGGATACCCTCTGATACGATGTCTTGCAGTTCTCCTAGTGAGCCCTGCTGGCCCTGACTTCCTTGCACAGCCGTGTCTGGGTGTATGTGCTATGACAGACCATCTGAATCTGATGGCGATAACGTTACACCTCATTGCCACTTCGAGGTGCTGCTCTGCTGTCCCATGTCCAAGCCACACAGCCCTGTCCTCCTCTGCAGAGTCTGTCTGCAGCCTGGCTGAGAAAGCTGCTCCCAGACTAAGCTCCTCAGAAACTCATCTGTCTTACCTGGACAAGCTGCAAGAGAAGTATGGTTGCTCTGTTTGCTGTGCAAAAGCCTTACTGAAAATCTGGTGATGATGGATGTGAACAGGATGTGGAAACGAGATCTTTTCCAGAGAGAAGCTCACTTAGAGAGGAAGAAAAAATTCTCAAGTGTGTTGGTTTTAGATGGACTCAGCTAAGTGCTGTGGGTGCAGAGTCAAGGGAGGATGAAATGTGACTGCAAGAGAGGTTTTGGGGATCCTTTGAGACTGACAGATTCATGATCTTTTTTTTCTCCTCCAAATAACCTGGGTTTTAGAGCTGATTTTTATGTAGTTTCTCTGAAAAATGCTTACTGGTGTTTCTGCTGCAGGTTCAGTCACCTGTGGACTCTGCCACAATGTCACCAGTGGAAAGGACAGCTGCATGGGTTCTCAATAATGGACAGTATGAAGAAGTAGAGGAGGATGCAGAGCAGAATCCAGATGAAGTCAAGCATGCCGAGAAGGTAGAGTTTGTGTGTGTGGAGCCAACCCAAGGGCTGCCAGTGAGTCCTGCCCACCCCACAGCCAAGTTCAGGATGGCTTTTGGGTGCTGCTGTGGCCGTCATGCTTTCAAGCACAGGCTGTGTTGGTACAACGTCCTGCTGTACCTGCTGTCACACCTGTCTGTAGCACCATGTCCCATGCTACAGCTGAACCCATGTACGTGCTGTAGCTTGTCAAATGGGTGCAAACTGACAGAGCAGAGAGTTGGAACATTACAGGCTGCTCTTTGGTGCTCTACATGCCCCCTGAGTCGTGCTGCCTAAGTGCTCAAGTCGGTCTGTTTTATGACAGCACTATAGTTACAGCATACCACCATTTTTTTACTCTTGCAAAACATTTTAGTGATCATTAAACTCTGTTAAAAAAAAAAAAAAAAAAAGGCTAGTTGTTAACCTGAGTATATCTTAGGTGATTATACAAGGCTCTGTAAATGCAAGTCAGTGTTCATCTGTAGCTGCATTCAGATTTTTGTCTTGGGCTTCACCTGAGGCCAACGCCTCTCATCGAGATAGTACAGTGTTTCTGGGCTGCACAGAAATGGCCCTGATGGTTTTTTTAAAGTGTATTTACTTTCAGAAGTAGATGCCATTTTTCAAAATACAGTTAGACCTCTATGCTGCTGTGGTGGTGAAGTTTAGTAAGAGGTCTGGTATTTTGAGAAGGCAGGGAGTGAGGAGGAGAACATTTGGTGGACAAGAAGCAGGAACATAGGATTATCAGGAAAGGTGAATGAACCCAAACCAAAGTAGTATATGTTGAGATTCGTTGCATTATTGCAGAAGTGATGGTCTACAGAGATAGTAAACAGAAGAACAAAGCTCCAGCCAAGTTAACTTAAAGGCTCTGTTTTGTAGTGAATTATTTGCTCTGTCTTCACATGTCGTTTCATGCCTTGATAGGTCTGAGGAGTGAGTTTTCTGGGTCCCATATTGGTCTGGTTTCTAAGTTTGGTCACCTCAGGATATTCTGAAAGTTGAGCACTATAGCAGCTTCTGTCTGGAGACTGCTTGAGTCTGGAGTCACTGGGGATGTTACTGGTCAGTGCTGAGGAGCCATGCCAGAGTCCTTTGACAGCTTAAATTGTGCCACAGAATGATGTCCTACAGTGTGGGAATAGCTTGATGTTCAACAGGAGCCTGGGTGCTCCTTGTCTGTGGTTGCCCACAGTTGTTTGCTTGTCATTTCCTTTGCTTCTGTCAGTTTATTTTTCAGTAAAACAGCAGTGTCCTTCTCTGATCAGCAGCAGAAGGCTGTAATGATCTGATCTCTCTCCTTTGCATCCGATTGTTTCCTGCTGCCTGCAGTATGAGCAAGAGATAGCGAAGCTGAAGGAGCGGCTGAAGGTGTCGAGTCGCCGACTGGAGGAGTACGAGCGGCGGCTCCTCGTGCAGGAGCAGCAAATGCAGAAGCTGCTGATGGAGTACAAGTCGAGGCTGGAAGACAGTGAGGAGAGACTGCGCAGGCAGCAGGAGGAGAAGGACAGCCAGATGAAAAGTATCATCAGCAGGTGAGGTTTTGGAAAGCTTGGGACTGTGTAGGACAAGCAGCTCTCCCATGTGTCTTGTCTTCCCTCTGACACTGAGGAAGGTAGTTGCATGGGCTTCTTGACATCTCTGGACTGATACCATACCACCTTACAGATGAAGAAATGGGAATGCAAGTGTGGAAACTTGCCTCAGATTGCCAGGAGAATGAAGTAAAAGGTTTAGGAATTTTTAACCTTGTCTCTGTTGTACTTATAACAGGTCTTTTTTCTTTGTTTGGAATCTATACTCAAGGCAGTATGTTGTTCAGAGCAGTTACATTTTTGGCAGCGTCCATTTTGAGAATAACAAGGTTAGGCAATCAAGAGTGTCAGATGGATAGATAAGCTACTCCAAGTGCAGCAGATTTCTTCTCTTGTAGAGCTAGGACAATCAGAGAAGAGAAATCAACAGGCCAGAGTACCTGAATCACTCCAGAATAGCATTGAACTGTCCTGATTTGTACCTCTCTTTGCTCACCAGACTCATGGCAGTTGAAGAGGAGCTGAAGAAGGATCATGCAGAGATGCAAGCTGTCATCGATGCAAAGCAGAAAATTATTGATGCGCAGGTAAGGAGCTCAGGATCTCCAAGAACCAAATGTTCTGTGTGTAGAACTCATTATTTTCCCCTCTCCTTCTGCCCCAGTGTTGATCCTAGCTCCCAAGTCGGTATTGGCCCATGGTGTTGCACATGTGACTTACTACCTTCTAGGAGATGAATTGGGGTTTTTAATTAATAAAAAGGTACTGTCTGACGCTAGGCTTTGAGACAGCCTGACAACAAATCACAGGACTGATCGCTTCTCCAAAACCTTTTCTGCTTTGTGAGATCCCAAGGAGGTAGAGGAATAGTGGAGCATTGTGCAGACATTGTTTGAAGCGTGGGCCTGGGTACTCTGGAAGAGCTGTGCCTCATACCAGCATAGTTCAATTGCCACGTGCATGCATCTCAGCTATGCAAGCTAAAAGCATGGCTTGGAATGTTCAAGTCAAGAAAAGAGAATGCTTGCAATGGAGCATTGCCCTGTATAATGTCATATGTGGCATTTCACCCCATCTGACTGTCCATGTCAGCCCTGGAGAAATGCCCACTTTGCCACAAACCTGCAGTGTTTGCCTCCATCAACACAAGTTAGCTGCAGAACGTGGGACCCAGCGGGCAATGCATGTGGGTGTGTTGTGTGGGATCATTTTGGCTTTTCTTCTGTGTCTGTGCTGATCCCAGAGAGCAAAGCTTCTACCACAGAACCCCACACTGGTTTGGTATCTGCCTGCCATGTTATGTTTGTGAGACTTGCATTTGGAGGATGTCTTTCCTGCTTTCTGGGCTTTTCAGTAGTTCCAACTGTAAACTTGCCTGCACAGATAATCTTAAGAAGATGACTGATTCAGGCATGATCCAAGTTATTTTAGAAAGCTGTTGCCCTGCGCACAGAGTGGCAGTGGTGGGGAGCTTCACTTGAACTCTGTTTACGCTGGTGCTGGTGCATGAGAACGTAGGAGTAAGTGAGCACAAAAGGGCAGACCTTGTCTGCTGAATGGCCAGGAATAAGACAAATGTTTGAGCTCACATGGAACTATAGGGAAAATATGAAATAGGAAAAAAACTGTGTTCTTAAAAGCCTGGTAATGCCAGGAGTGTATTTACAGCAGATTTTTTTTTTTTGATAATTTGAAAAGTTCTGGTTTTCCTGCTGCCTCTGCCTATTTTCCCACAGTTCTTCAGAAAGACTGTTCATGAAAGCTGTATTTTTGGGTCTGTGCCTTCTAATCTGAATAAACTACTTGCATACAGTAACATTGCACTTCTGTTACCTAGCCTTGCAGGGAAAAAAAAAATCCCACTATATATAGTTCCTAGTTAGTGTCCAAGATGCTCTACATGGAGACAGCAGAGTTGCCACCCTTTCTAGGTGCAGCTCAAGACTGAATCCTCTCTCTGCAGACTTGAGGGGGAGAGTGCCCTGCTGGAGAATGAACAGCAATGGACTCAGTGGCTGCACGTGTTTATTTTCTTGGTGGTAGGGGAATAGTACAGCAGCCTCCAGTCTGATCAGGGAGTATTGCAAGTGGAAGCTGGAGGAGAAGTTGAACATGCTGGGTGATTTTTTGGAGATAGGCACAGTCAGGGCATGTTGCTGTTGCACAGTGGTGGAATGGCAGCTCATACTGACAGCAGCCTGGTTTTTGAAGGAGGTGAGGCCTTTTTCATCTGCCTCAAGAAAGTGAAAGGGGCACTGAGCACTCATAAAAAGTGATTTATTTTTTTTTTTTTTGGAGGGGAGGATTTGAGTGATTGTGACTGGATAAGAAACTTGTCCTTCCCTTTGTTATCTGTCTCTGCCAGTAGGCCCTCAGCCCCAGTGTGGAGTTAGGAACTAGCAAGGTGGAAGGTGGACCAGTTTGATCCCATGGTGTCACCAGCTGGCAGAGGGGACTGCTGCTGAGTTGTGAAAGCTTCAAACCCTCAGGGCTGGAGAGGTGTGGTCCTTGATCACACTTGAACAAATGATGCATCATTTATCACCTGCAGGGGAAATTATTGAAAAAATAGTAGCAAACCAGTAGTGTTAGTGATTCCTCTTTTAATCTGATACTTTTTTCATTTCTGAAGTGCTCTTAGCTCCTGGGGCAGGCAAGGTCATCAGCAAACCTGAACTGCTTCAGTGTCCGCCAGCTCACAGGGGAAGGAAGGTTGGTTGTTACTGCCCTTTCATGGGTACCTGGGCAGAAAAGGAAACTGCTGAAAGGTCCAGAACAGACACACCAGAGGAGCGCAGGTGTTTGCTGGGTTCTGCAGCAATCCCTCTGAGTTGCGCTTGGAAGATTTTTCTTAGTCTTTGACTCACTTGGCAAAGGGATATAGCAGTGGCTAGAGAGGAAAAGGTCTCTGATGCGTGATCTGCAGAGCGGAGTTGGAACCTGGCTTATCACAGCTGTTTGAAGAGTTAAATGGCTGCTAGGAAGCAGCAGCAACCCGGGCTTCTCATGCTGAGTCCCACTGGCACGAGATGCTTTTCTGGACTTGCTGTTGTGCTGCGTGGTGGGGCGCAGCAGCAGCCCTGCACGGGTGCCCCAGGACAGCCCTGTGCCCAGCACCCGAGCCGGTGGCCGTGGCACTGGGCTGCGCTGTGTGTGCGCTGTGGCTCTGGAGTCTGTCCTGGCCTCCCTCACTGGGCAGGGACTAGGGCTGGCCAGACTCTCTCCTTCGAGCAGTGGAGCTGCAAAGAGTACGAGCCCAGTTGCTATTGCAAGTGACATCTCCGCTGTGTTAAATTACAGGTCATAAATGGGGATGAGATAATTCAAACAGGCAAGTAAACCCGATCAGTTCTCTAGCTGAGCAGTACCCAGTCCTGGCCCAGTGTGCTGACCTCCTACCCATTCCAGCTCCTCCCACTCCCTGTGCCCAAATCGTGTGTGTCAGAGACATGTCTGATAGACTGTATTTTCCTTGAGTGAGAAGACGCCTCTACTCACCAAGCTCATGCTTTTAAGATTGATTTTCCAAGTGCAGATCTCCAGCTGTTTTGCAGACTGCCACAGTGCGCGCTCATCAGTGCCAGAAAACAACCAGCCTGTCGTTTTTAAGTCTTTGGAAAAAAGCTATCTTCTTTGGAAAGCGATTTTGATTTAAAAATATATATTCCAGGTGTAATTTAGTCCAAGGAGGAGCTTTAACTTGCCAAAGAACACATTTCTGCTAAGGCACCTGTGTTTGGCAGGCTTTATTTCAGCATGAGGAAGGGCTCAGGCCTCTAACTCCTCCATTGTCCGTTCTCCTTCCTCACGCTGACTGGATCAGGGCAGGTTCTCGGGCAGGCTGTAGCCTGCCTTGCTGTTTGTTCATTGCTCATGCCTCCTCCACCGCCATTTGCTCTGCTCCACAAACATCAGTCTCTTCAGGGCTGTAATACAAGCAGTACTTAAATTCTGCTTTGTTTTTGCACCCTGACACTTCCCCCTGTGGGGAACCCCTCTGAGAAAAGCAAACGTAACTTGATTGTTGATGTACCACAGAGCTGATGTGCTGGGATCAAAATCTCAAGGGGTCGTTGTAGCTCTTAGGTCTCCTGAGCAGTATCCCTTTACGTGTGTGCCTTCTGTGCATCATTTTCCCTTCCATTTTGTTTCTCAATGGGCTGGACTGGGAAGAGTTCCTGCATGTAGTTTTTTCCATTCAAGTAAATGAGACATTTTTTCTTTCTCGAAGAAAAAAGCCAATCGGCTGGTAGCATGGGGATCATATTTACCTTTTGCTGTCTCTGTTGCTGCATTGTGTGGCTACATTTGGGTTTTTTTTTTTCTTTTTTTTCCAAGGGAAGATGAAAATTGTAATTTATAGTCATGCCACCAACTCTTTGGCTTGACCCCTCAGTGCCTTGTCCCACGGCAGTTAATCTAGCTGTTAGTAGGCTGTGTAATATTTTTTAATAAATTTAGTACACATCCTTTAGCTTCCTGCTAAAAGTGGAGGCTGGCACTCTGTGTGCCAGAAGGATCAAAACATGGGTGTGGGAACCCTGGATTGGCTGGAGCCCGGGAGCCCCTCTGAGCTGGAATGGGTCTAGGAGCAGTGCGATCAGTGTTTGTTCTCTGTGTTCTGTCAATGGCATCTCCCCCTCCACCCACGCTGCCCTCTTCCCCTTCACCTTGAACGAACCCTTAGTTGTAGCTTTTGGCTGCTTCTTCTCTGTGTTGCTGTTGCACCCTCACTCCTGCTGGTGACTGCAGGCTGCCATTGTCTGCTTCTCTTTATTTCTTTCAAGCATACCATGAGTTTGTTCTGAGCACACTCCATCCAAAATACAGAGACGATGGCCATTAGAGACCACTTGCACTTTGCCAGATGAAACCTCCACCACTTTTATTTCTTGCTGCCTGTTTCTGTTTTTCTAACATATTTTTTAAAAGAATAATAATTGGCTGTTGTTGTTATTAACACCGACACCCTTCCCCCCAACCCACGGCAAAGTACTGCATTTCCATCTGCCTCTGTTGGAGGCTGTCTGGATAAAGCCACCGAGACTGGGTCAGTTCACCAGCCTAACTGTGACTCCCTGTCACCTTCTTCCATCACGCAAGAAGGCCGGGAGGGCCCGACCGGCCTGTGAGAAGCCCGTGGCACGCAGGGGCCGTGCTAGCCCGGGAAAACAGAAAGAGGCAGACATCCCATCACACCAGAGAATGTTAGCCAAGCTGCCTCTGCCTAGAAACCACCCGCAGGGCGGGCTGTCAGAGCCCCGGCTCCCGGAGTCTCCCTGAAGCAGGCTGGTGGGGCGCAGAGCGGGCCCCGTGCGAGGGAGCTCTGACCCCCTGGGTGTCTGTTGCAGGAGAAGCGGATCGTGTCCCTGGACTCGGCCAACACGCGGCTGATGAGTGCCCTGACGCAGGTGAAGGAGCGCTACAGCATGCAGGTCCGCAATGGCATCTCCCCCACCAACCCCACCAAGCTTTCCATCACGGAGAATGGTGAATTCAAAAACAGCAGCTGCTAACCGGGCAGATGCTGCCGGCCTCTCCCCAGGAGAAGGGCAAGAGGGAGCAGACTCAAGAAACCTTCAAGATAGCCCTCCCTTCCCCTCACCAGGTTTACATAATGCTGCTAAAAAATGGAAAAGAGAAAGAAGAACTCTGAAAGGTGGGCTTTAATCCCCCACTCAAGGCCAGGAGAACCGGGCTCCCGAGAACAAGTCCTTCCATATCACTGTGTAAATAGAGGGAGCTCTTGGGTCATGTACAGAAAATGCCGATGTAAAATACCAAAAGGAGTGAATACTGTAGATTTTTTTAATTATTGCTATTTTTATTATTATTTTTTTCTCTTGTTGAAAGCACTGCAGTCCTTGGAGGAGGAAGAGGGGAGTGTGAGTGCATGTGTGTTGTGGGTGAGAGCGAGCGAGATGAGCAGTGGGTTACACTAGACAGCAGCTGTATATGTCAGGTTGCCTGACACATAAGTGGAGTGAAGTAGTAGTGAAATGAATTCTATAAGAAAACTCATCCGCTGGTTTTATTCCCCTCCTCTTTAGCTGTTCTTTACCTGAATGCCAGCTCAATAGTAAAAAATTGTCAGTCTTTTTGAACAAGGTAAAAACTTGGAGCAGCAAAGCTTGTTTCCTTGCATTTGCACACAGTCAGGCTTCCCATCAGACAGACAGAGGGAATCTGCAGTTTTTCAAGGTAGGATTCTTTTTTTACCCCAGTAAAAATGCAGTTTTATATTTTCTGTTTTGAGAATTTACAGACCTGTAAATACTTGTTTTAAAAATTTCTATCCAACTCCCACCTCCTGCACCCTGCAGTGGCACCCTGAATTCATTCTCTGCGCTCCATCAGGAGCAGTCAGGTCAGGGCTCTGAGGAAGGGGCAAACCAAAGGGTGACCATGCCCAGAAAAGTTGGCTTCTGTGTGCAATGTTTCCTTTTGCCTAGAAGATTTCTGTATTTTAACTCTTTGTTCAGTTTCACTATTTCAGCCACAAGCTTAGTCAGTCTAGTTCCAATGAAAGATGCTTTCTGCATGTTCGTGTTAAAAGATCTTCCATTTCCACCAAAGTTTTCCTTTCTCTGGGTACTTTAAAAGGTTTGGTTTTTGTTTTTTTTCCAAGTTCTGTATATGCCAGTTTTTTTCCTAAGGAGTTTTGACTAAGCTTTCATTTCCAATTGCTTTCAGTTGCATTTTGTTAGGAGCATACTTCCAGGCTGTATGTGGATACGTTTATAATTGCAAAGTGACCTTCTCATGGAAAGTAACAACATTCACAAACTGTAAAAGATTAACAATAAATTACATGGTATTGTCAATTCTCATGATTTCATCAAATGCTACAATATTTAGTCTGAGAGGGTTTTTTTGAAGCCCCAGATTCTAGAGTTAAGTAATAGTATATGAATCTTTGCTTTAGCGTTTTATTATTTCTAGCCCCCAAACTCTCAAGGTAAATAAAATTATTGGAATGGCAGTTGCAATTTTGAATTACAGAAATATAACAGTGAGTGTGGTTAAGCATTCAAACTTCTTTTGGAAATTAGAAATTGGAAAAGCTGACTTCAGGAGGAGACAAAACCTTGAGAAGGTGCCTGACTGGGTTGTATTTAGGAAACAGTTCAGGCAGCAATTGGAAACAAGTTAGTGAGGTGGCTGTGAGGTTACCTGGCTGAAACTCCTGTGATATGGAGAAGCTCAGAGCTGAGCTGATTATCTTTTCTGGGCTTGGCTTCTGAATCTCTAAAATCACACTACTTTAAAAATGTAGGAGTTTCTAATCCAATTTTGTGACCTCCTTAAAGTGACCCATGTTGCCTTGAACATGGAGGACTGGCAATACTGAGGACCCAAATACAATGTCTGTTGTCAAGTTTGTTTGTTCTTTGGACGTGAATTAATCTCTGTGAGAAAATGCAGCTTGTGACAAGAGTGTTGGATGTTAACTGTTCTGCCTGATTATTGTCTTACTTCAATTAAATATCATCACATGAGTATGTTACTTTACTAACTATGCATAAATACAAAGACCACAACTTCTGCACTGTAGGATGTGTAAGAAAAATGTGTATGAATCTCTCCTAGCAAGGCCTCGGCTCTTAATTTATGTCTAGAGAACACTATATTTAATGCTTAGTTCTTCCAGATCAAAGAGTCCCTGACTGCCCAAATGTGACTTGGTACTTGAGGCCAAGGAGCATCCCTGTCTTTGTTTTTTGAATATCCATAGCAAAGTCAGCACTGTCTGACACACCTGGGGCTGTGTTCTGCATTTTCTCAGTAGTGATTTCTTTCCCATGCTTTCCAAACCGTCTTCCAGCTCTGGGTCATTGCTGACCTCCAATGTTTTCTTCCTCAAACCGTGCCTTTAAGTTCCTTCTTCTTTCCTTCGTGCATCGCAGCTGTAGGCAGCCTATCGAGTCCGCATTAATCTGTCTTCTGAGTAGCTCTCTTTTACGAGATACCTTTGAAAACCTCTTTTTGTTGAAAATTTGTGTGACCTGCATCTCCCCTTTGCTATCGGGGGGAACTTATTCCCCAAAGTAGCCTTTTCAGGCAGGCGTGTGCGTTGCTCACTTAGGACACAGTGCAAACAGTATGGGTGCTTCTGGTGCTGAAGAATTCCGAGTGTCCGCTTTGGTTTCTGCAGAGAAATGCAATAGGGGCAACATTTCAGCCCTGATTTTTAGAAGGGAAATAATACCTGCTCCAAGATAGATATGTTTTGGTGAGGTAACTTATCACTCTAATAAAGTACCTTCTCCTGTGGAATTCTTAAGCTTGTAGAATGCTTGTAGGAAAAAAAATTGCTCTTCTAAGAGTCTGACCCATTAGTATCGACCTCACATCTTGTTGCTAGGCTGGTTTTCTCTCTTCTATTTTGATTTCTACCCTAAAGTGCAAAGCGTACTCCTCTAACTCCTGCTATAGAGGAGAAGCTGCCTATTGACCCAAAAGGGGGTGAAGGTTGCATACTCACAATGCTGCAAGACAAAAATTGATTAGCTGCGGAAGAACAAAACGTTACGCTCCCGAGTTCTGCAGGCAGCTGTCTCTCCTAGTTTGTTACCAAGCAGCTTTCCAGAGAAATTTTAAGCCGCCTCAAGCTGACAATATGTGAAAATGCCAGCTTCTATTTTGTCCAGTCTGATAACATTCAAGTGGCATTGAACCACGTGGCAGCCAAAAGGTCTGTCTGTTTTGGAGCTAGAGCCCTAGCTGGGCCTGATCACATTTGGTTTAAGACTCGCAGCCAGTGGCTTCTGCAGCAATGAGAGAAGTAGTAAATTGTGCAGAGTCTGATGATGAGCATTCTAGACATTCTGTTTTGGTTCCTACTTTCAGCAGAGGCATCAGGGTGTGTCTAATGCTGTTGCAAGGAACTGCTGCTCTCATTTGGAAGCGCTGCAGGAAAAACATAATAGCCTCTAGGAGCAATATTGTGTGTTCCTAAGAGTGAAGCAGAAGAGTTGCCCCGTCCTGGCGTCTGGGGCCGCAGTGCTGGCCACCGTCGCTCAGTTCTGTTCTGGGATGACTTCCCAACGTGCAGAGCCCCGAGGGGTTCAGAGCCGGCAGCCGGCACGGAGCAGCTCCCAAGCGCTCGGCCCTTGGTGGGACACGTGTGGTGTCTGCAGAGCGTGTGCAGGACAGGGCTGGCCAGGGTGACGTGGGGGAGGCTCTGATGGAGGAGAGAGGGAGGAGTGGCTGCCTGTAAATGCCCATTCTTTGCAACTCTAGGAATTCAGACCTTTTTTTTTTTTTTTTTTTTTTTTTTAAGTGAAATAAACAGGTTTCACATCCAGGAATTTCTGGCTGTTACTTCCCTGCTTTATTAGAAATGGGCAGCTGTGCATAACAGCACAAGTTCACGCAGCTACACATTTTGGAACACTCCTCTCCAGGTGCATAACTCAGGCAGGGGATCCAGAGGAGCATGGCAAGGGATGTGTTATTTTCTAGTTGGAGAATATGAGGTGTATCCAGTAATAAATTCCATATCCATCTAATAAGTCATCCAAGAAATGGGGTTTTATTCTTTGTTCTTGCAATTGCTTTGGGTTGATCTAGGCTTTTTTTTTTTTTTTTCAAGTGATATATTAATTTCATGGCTTCATACTTGTTTAAACACATCAGCTTTGAATTTAATCTGAAAACTCAATGACTGAAGTGTGTCAGTTTTGCAGCAGCCCCCGTGGAACATGTCAGCAGTACTTATCTGCTAAGGTCACCGTGTCTGTGTGAATTCTGTCTGTTTTCTGCAAAATGTCTGTGTTGTTCCTGGAGAATAATTCCTGTCCGGGTTGAACTATTAAACATATTTCCATCGGTGATCAGCATGGCCCCAGGTATCCAGCTGAGCCTGACAAAGCAGAAGGGGTTACAGTTAGGCTGATGGTTTTTGGTATTTCTTTCTCCACAGTAAGTTAACTCCCATGAGAGCGAGCATGTCATTACAGACCATGTCTGCCAGGAATCCTACCTGTAAAAATAGATTTTCTGTCTCAAGGGCCTTAATAAGAGTGTTACTACACAGAACTGTTTTACAATGATAGCTCTAAATAATTTATTTTTTATTTCAACAAAGTACACCGTAAAAAGTAATAAACTTGTTTTTCAAGCCGTATTTTTATGCTAGTAGCACTGGACTGTTTGGTCTCTGAGATCCATTTCTGCATTTCATTGCCGGGGTTTGTTCTAAAGAAGATTTATTTTTGTTCTGTGAATAATTTTTGAAGGTTCTTGTAATATGTACAGATATAGATACATTTGAGGTCTTTTATTGATATTCCTACAAAGAATACAAATAAACTTTAACTTTAAACAGTTTGGACTCTGTTAACTTACGCTGATTTAAAATCCTGCTCTTTCTGCTCTTGGGCTGTGCTTGTGGTTTTTGTGCCTTCAGGGGATGGGGGGTGGAGCTCAGCCAGACTAACTTAGTCTTTGGGACCAAGCAGATCCTTTGGCACCTGGAGCCACCTGGGTGAGCCAGGGGGTCCGTGCCTGAGCG